GCAGGAATGAACTCAGAAAAGGGAAGATCTTCAAATGCTTCTTGTTTTTCCCCAAATCAGCTTAGTTTTTTTTTTTTTTTCATAGGTGACTTCTCTCTTTCCTGAAAAATCTTTAGGGAACAATAAAAAGTGTACTCAGACTTTAGCAGTAGACTCAACTGACACTTTCCATAAGCAAATCTAACACTCATTTACTTTGATCATGTGTAAACAGGGTTCTTGCTTACTCCAAACATCTTTGATTCCCTTGAAATGAAAGGAATAATTTTCACTATGTAGCAACCCAGGCTGTTCAGCTGCTGTTGATGTGGCGGCAAGGGAGCTGTTTGGAACTTTTTTCCTTATTCAAATAGGATCACCTGAAGACGTCTTTCCTCCAAATAAGTTAGTGTGAAGGGCAAGCCACCAACAATCTGTCAACATAAGAGAGAGAGAGAGAGAAAAGGGCCTCCCTGGAAGGAAGAGGGATTTTTTTTTTAGAAAAATTAATATTTAACTTACATTTAAAATCAAACAGGAGCTACCACATTCCAGGACTGTCTGTTCCTTTCCAACTGCCTTAATAGCTCTGTCCCTGTGCTTACCTTAATTCCTGATTGAGCTCTAAACTTCCAAATCAAATAAAACATTTGCAAACACTCTGTCCCCACACTCTTCTCATGGAGCCATTCCAACTTCATTCCTCAGGAGACACACATTCTAGCTGAACAAGATAAAAAAAGTGAAATAAAGAATGATAATTATTCCCCAAATAATTTAAGCTAAAAACACAATTTAGATTGAAATTCGGAGAATCCAGTGGGCCTATATTCAGTGGACTTGGTATCATGCCAGTTCTTCTCACAAACATGTAGTCATTTGACTTGCAAGGAAGGGTCTCTCTGAGTAAGGTATTCGTACTGTAATTTTACCAGTGAGAAAGCTGAGGTTTATAAATGAGGGATGACTTACCAAAGGTTAGTTTGCACATTACAGGGCCAGGACTGAAGCCTATTTAGTGTTTCTCCCACTGCACTACACTGCCTCTTTCTAGGCCTTAAATATCTTCATAGCCCCTGTCAAAATTCTGCTTGGGTTAAACTTGTACAGACCACATTTTTTCTTTAGTCACCAACTTTGTTTTATGTTCCTCATTCAGCTAGAACAGGGGGCCCCAACCCCCAGGCCAAGGACTGATACTGGTTGGTGGCCTGTTAGGAACCAGGCCGCACAGCAGGAGGTGAGCGGTAGGCAAGTGAGCGAAACTTTTTCTGTATTTACAGCCGCTCCCCATCATGGCCCGAGCTCCGTCTCCTGTCAGATCAGCGGCCGCATTAGATTCTCATAGGACCGTGAACCCTACTATGAACTGCACATGCGAGGGATGTACGTTGCGTGCTCCTTATGAGAATCTAATGTCTGATGACCTGAGGTGGAGCTGAGGCAGTGATGCTAGCACTGGGGAATGGCTGCAAATACAGATTATCATTAGCAGAGAGGT